CCTTCTACTTTGGGTTTTGTTTCTCTTTTTCTAGTTTCTTTAAGTGTAAATTTAGTTTGTTTACTTGGGATCTTCCTGCTTTGCTGCATCCCACAGATTTTGTAAGGTTATTTTCACTTTCATTTGCTTCAAGGTATCCACTGGTTGTTTAGAAGAATGTTTTTTAATCTCCATGTATTTGGTTTTTCTCCTATTGATTTCCAGTTTCATGCCATCATTGTCAAAAAACATGGTTGATATAATTTCAATCTTCTTGAATTTATTGAGGTCTTTTGTGGCCTAGTATGTTATTGGTAATAGAAAATGTTTCGTATGCACTTGAGAAAAATGTGTAACCTTCAAGTTTTGGATGAAATGCTCTGTAGATGGTTATCAAGTCACACTTGTGTAATGTGACACTTAAGGCCATTATTTCCTTACTATTTTTCTGTCTGGATGACCTATCCATTGAGATAAGATATTAAAGTCCCCAACTATTATAATATTAACATTAATTTCTGCCTTTATGTCCATTAGCATTTGCTTCATATACATACTTAAGCACTCCTTGGCTGGGTATGTAGATATTTATAATTATTATAACCCCTTCTTGGATGGACCCCTTTAAAATTATGTAATGTCCTTCTTCGTTTCTTTTTCATTATTTGTTTTAAAGTCTTTTTAGTGTGATATGAGTATTGACCCCAGCTATATTTTCATTTCCATTTGCACAGAATATTTCTCCATCCCTTTATTTTCAGCCTGTGTGTCTTTACATCTGAAGTGAATCTCTTGTAAGCCACATATTGATGGGTCATGTTTTTTTATCCATTCTGCCACCCTATGTCTTTCGATAGGAGCCTTCAGTCCATTTACATTTAGGGTAATTATTGATAGATAAATGCTTACTGCCATTATGTTAATTGCCTGGAATTGTTTTTGTGTTCTTCACTCGTTCTTCTCCTGATTGTTTACCTTTTGATTTGTTGGTTTCCTTTAGTGTTTTGATTGGTCTTCCTTCACTTTTTCTGGTGTGGTTTTGGTTTATGCTTATCATAAAGTTCATGTACGAACTTTGACATATCCAGTTATATCTATAGCTATTTTAAGCTGACAGGTATTCAAGTTCAATCTTGCATTCTTAAAGCACTACATTTTTATACCCCCTCCACTGTTTTATCATGTTTTATGCATTTTTTGTATCTCCTGATTATTTATTATAGTTATAGTTAAATTAGCTACTGTTGTGTTTTAACCTGTTAACTTTTTAAGTGATTAATGCATTGTGATTCTTGCGTATTTGCTTTTACCAGTGAGATTTTTTTTTTTTTACTATACTGTATTTTCTTATTTCTGATTATGGCCTTTTCTTTTGTGCACAAAGACCCATTAACATTTCCTGTAAATACAGTTTAGTGGCGGTGAACTCCTTTAGTTTTTGCTAGTCTGGCAAACCATCTCTTTCAATTCTAAATGATAACCTTGCTGGATAAAGTATTTGTAGATTTCTTTCTTTAAGCATTTTAAATATTTCCCACCACTCCCTTCTGGCCTGTAAAGTTGCTTCTTAGAAATCAGCTGATAGCTTTATGGGGTTTCCCTTGCATGTGACTTGCTTTTTCATTCTTGCTGCATTTAAGATTGACTCTTTAACTTTTGTCATTTTCATTAGAATATATCTTGGTGTGGGTCTCTTTGGGTTCATCTTTTTTGGAACTCCCTGTGCTTCCTGGGCTTGGATCTATGTTTCCTTCCCTAGATTAGGAAAATTGTCAGATTATTTCTTCGAATACTCTTTCTGTTCCTTTCTCTCTCTTCTCCTTCTGGAATCCCTATAATACAAATGTTAGGATGTTCCATGTTATCCTAGAGAACTCTTGTAATATTCATTATTTGAAATACTTTTTTGGTTTTTCTGTTCTGATTGGGTGATTTCCACTATTCTGCCATCAGGTCATTAATCCATTCTTCTGTATTAACTAATCTATCAGTTCCTTTGAATGTATTTTTCATTTCAACCATTGTATTTTTCATCTCTGATTGGTTCTTTTTTACATTTTCTACCTCTTTAAGTGTCCTCTGAGCTCCTCTATTGTATTCTCAAATTTGTTGAGCATCCTCACAACCATTCCTTTGAACCTTTATCAAGCAAATTATCTGTTTCATTAAGCGTTTTCTCTGGAGTTTTTCCTTGTTCCTTCACTTGAACCAGTCTTCAGTCTCTCCTTCTTATTTGTTCCTATGAGTTGGATAGAGTAGCTATCTCTACTAGTCTTAAAAGAGAAGTTTCTCAGTAACGAAATGTTGAATCATTTTGGCAAGCTGTTTGTAGTAGGAGCAGGTATGTGTAGCGCCTGGCGTGTCACCTGGCCTGAAAAGGCAGGTCTGGGTGGGAGTAGCCGGAAATGTGCTTGCTTCCTTGCCCTTCTAACCTGGGTAGGGCTGCCTGATGCAAGCAGGGCTGCTCCATGTGCTCTTGGAGTACCCTATGGAATTAACCATCTATGATCACAGCTCGGTCTGGGCAGAGTAGCTTTGCAAGCCTGCATCTCAAGGCCTCACCAGGTCTTCCCCTCTCCTGTTGGGACAAGCCCACCCATGTGTGAACACCTCGGCACTTTGCTAATTCTGCTTCCTTTCCAGGCAATACAGCTCCTTGCACACTTGGACATACCCAACTCATTCCACAGGCAGCCCTGGGGGGTTTGCCTGTTTGCTTACATTATCCAGTCAGGGCAGGGTCTAAGCAGGGCCACTCTGCATGCCTGCATCTCAGTTCCCTACCAGCACCACCCTTTCTCTGATTGAGACAGGCCTGCATGAGCACACACAACAGTACTTTGGTATTTCTGTGGTGAGCCCTCTGTCTGTGGTGCAAAAGTGGGCTCAGACAGACCCCCCTGCACTACACAGGGCATCCCTGCCTGAGTGCCCTCTTGCATTATTCTTTAGTAAGAGTAAGGCCTGAGTGGGGTTGCTCTGTGGGCCTCCCTAGCTCCTCCCATTCTCCAGGTGGGGCATCCTTACATGTGCGCAGAGCCTTACTTTGGTAGTTCTGAACTCTCTCTGGGCTAGAGAGGCAGGGAGTGGTGCTCCTGCACATGTGTGCACACAGCAGCACCCATCTCACTATGTGCAGATCTGTCCTGCCTGTGTGCCCTGTTGCTTTAATTGTCCCCAATCAGGGTAGGGTCTGGGCAGGGCTGGTCTGCAGGCCTGCCCAGGTCCATCCTTTGTCCAGGTGATACAGCTTTATATGAGCACACACTCTCTGTGGGCAGTGACAAGAGCTCCTGCACAGGTGTGCTCACAGCAGCACACCATTCACTCAAGACAGGGCAGCCCAGAGTGTGGATACCACAAACTTTTCCAAACTCCCCACTTTCTTTGGACTGGGGAGCCCCACTTGTGCTGTACCCACTGAATCAATCACCAGAAGAGGCCCCTTGTTTACACACTATGGCACTCTCCTATTTCTGCTGCATTTAGCTCCAGTATGGCTGGCTGGGGATGTGCCATAGCACCATGCAAGTCTGCCAGTGAATCTGGACGACATCCACTTCCATCCAGGTTCAGGGGAATTGTACATAATGGTGCTCTCCAGTTCCTCCACTGGACTGCTCCTTCAGCTCCCAGAGGGCTCTTGTGGTTCCCCAACCTTATCTATGCAGTCACTCAATCTTGCCTCTTGCGCAGAGGCTGCTCAGTTAGCTCACAACTGTCTCTCAAGAGGATTTGCTCTAAACATAGGAGTACATCTGATGTATTCTTAAGAAGGAGCCAGCACAGCGTCCACCTACACTGGCATTTTAGAGAAACTCCTGGAACTGATTTTTGTAGTAGCTAATTTTCCTTTTATCTTGTCCTGGGTACTGCAGCACATATCTACAAGAAGCTAATCAATCTTAGAGGATAGTGCAAATGCAGATGTAACACCTGAAAATAACTACCTTGTGTTGGGCCTAAATTAATTCTCATGTTCTAAAAATTTTTAACAATAATCCATGTGTTCATCCACTTACTAACTTACTCATGGCAATCTTGACACATCCTATATGTGCCCACTGTGTTGGTACTCACGGGGTTCTAGAGCATACAAAAACCATAATAAATTCATTCAGGCTGATATGAAAAAATTTTCTCAAAATTATAAAACTACAAATTCAAATCATTTACATAAACCAGAAGGATTTTTGAATCCTGGTAATCACCAGCTAGGCCCATAAAAATATCTATTGTACTTGAAGTGAGTATTTTGTTAATCATGACATTGTAGCACTTCATCAACATGGACATTTTCTTTAAATTCCCTCCATAACACTAACACCAGAATAGGTGGAAAGAATATAATAAAACTTATTATGAAAAAGGGGCCTGAATATTTGTGGCAGCCATGAAAATGTGTGTGAGTATTAAAATAATTAATTAAAATAATTTTTTGAATTCTTATAACTTTTCCTAAATGTTTTTATATTCCATTGTTTTTAATAAACTAGTTCTCTCTTTTTATTATGGATTTTAGAGGGGAAAAGAAATAGAGAAACAGAAATGTGAGAGAGAAACATCAATTGGCTGCCTCTCACACACACCCCAACCAGGAACTGAACCCGCAACATTTTGGTGTATAGGATAACCCTCCAATCAACTGAACCACCTGGCAAGGGCAATAAACCAGTTCTCTTAAGTGCTGAAATGCCCAAAGATACATACAAAAGGTATTGCACTACAAACCCTTTTCCAACATATTAAAACTTCTATTTGATCATCATTCCTTCAGGTCTTCTATTAACAATAAAAATAACAAAATGTCTTTGGCATTGAACTTTGCAGTAAAGATTACTATTCTGCTTGGGCAAATTGTATGCCTAATTTTTTAAAATCTTTTTAAAACCTAAAACCTAAACTGATCCTGTCTTGATTTCTTTATTTATCTAAATCAGTCTTTTTTCATCACACACAAATTTATTTCAGTTAGCATAAATTCAACATTTATTTAATAACCAGAAAGTAATGTCACCTACCTGTAGTACCGAGACTGTAGATATGTTGAACAAACAGTCTTTGATACATGACTGGCCGACCCAAAGTCTATTACTTTAACCCTGTAAGGCTGCCGAACAGGATCCACCAACATAATATTCTCTGGTTTGAGGTCAGCATGAATTAAACCAAGACTTTTCAATTTTTTCAGTGCAGTGGCCACTTGTTGAAGAATGGGTCGAATTACTTTTAGTGGCAGGGGACTGAATTTATTTTGTTTCAGAAAGTCATACAAGTTTTGTTCCAGCATCTCAAAGACTAAACAAGTATGGTTACGGTGCTGAAAGCATTCATAAGCTCGTACAAAGTTATATTCATCAGCATTTTCAGTACTGAGTCTTGCTAATATGCTCACTTCTATTTGACCTTGACGTGCATAAGAAGGATGATTCTTCAAAATTTTGATTGCTACAATTTCATTCGTCCCTCTTTTCCAGCATTTGACTACCTGGCCAAAAGTGCCTCGACCAAGAAAATCAAGGACTTCGTAAGTATTTTTCATGGAGCATAAGACTTCATGCTGTACTAACTGATAGTCACCTTCTCCAGTGGTACAATTCTGCTTTGTTCCTGTGGTAGTTGTCACTACTGTCACTGGATTTCCCATGTTGGTTTGCAACATTGCAGGAAGTATGGACAATTCATCGACAATCTGCATTGCGCTGCTATGATTATCCAACTCTTCACTCTTGCGCTTCAATCCACATCGCTGAGGGCCTCCTAGGAAATGTAACCTATGTCTCCACGCCCCAATCTGAGGTGCCTCTACTTGGGCTTGCTGCGCCTGAGCTGCTATTACCTTTGTAGCACCCGCAGTGTTTTTTAAAACAACAGCACTTGTCTGCAATGAAAAGTTGTGTCCTCGAGGTCTGTTAAATGCTATCTTTGTTTGAAAAGCACTACCCTTCGTGAGAGGATGAGAATTTCCAACGTTTCTACCATTCACATAGGTCCGTGGATAGTTTCTTTCCTGGAATACACAACTGCTTGGCTCTACTTTGAGTTTCTTCACACTACAAAAGGCACTTGACTGAGTTTGATAAACAAATGGTGGGTAGACCAAGACTTGTGAGGCCATACCTGCAAAAGAGAAAAAAGACATTAACTATAAAAAATTTCATTTTAAATCTCATGAGGAAGATTTTAAATGGATCAAATCCCTAATTTATAAGGACAAATTTCATCAAGACTTTTTTCCCTTGGAAAAGATAAACATTTTCAATGTTCTACTTTAGTTAGTGCATCAGCTATAATGAGTGTTGCAAAAAAGGCACTTCTGTGACCCATACACATAGAAATAGATTCATAAAGACAAATGGTGTAACTCACAGATAAGAATTTCTAAAGCAGCTATTATAAAAAATATTCAAGGATTTAAACAAAAGTTTAAGCACAAGTAGGAGAGACTTGAAAAGCATTTTAAAAATGAAACCAGTGAGCCTGAGAGTCTTGCATATCTTACATGGCTTGTAAAGAAGCAACTTGGCATTACCAAACAAAATTACAAACAGGTATGTCCCCTTATCTAGAATCAGGCAACCCATTTACAGTTAGTACAAGAATATTCATGCAGCACTGTGCAAAGCAATACAATATTGGAAATAACCATCCACCTAAAAGGCATTGGTTAGGTATGCCTTGATAAATAAACCAACTACAATCTTAAAAAAAAAAAATGAAAACAATCTCTTTACCCTATTATGGCCTGATTCTGAAGATATTATTATCTGAAAAAAAGCAAGATTCAGAAAATGTATATTTTAGATATTTATTTTCACGTGTTTAATTTAAAAAGGTAACATATGTGTATATATCTAAATATACCTTGACTATTTGTACATACATTAAAAAATTATAGATTTATTTGCCTTAGAGAAAAGTAATAATAATACTGGGGGCAATGAGAAAGATTTGTTATTCACTGTACATCTTTTTTACCACTTTAATTTTTATTAAATTATGTATATGGATGACCTGCTCAAAAAATTTTTAATCATCTGGGAAACCTATTAAAATATATCCTTTTCATATTTAGAGATAAAATAATAAATATATCTGGGATGTGCTTCAAAATAATAGAAAATGGATGGGGATATGGATTAAATAAAGTTAGCCATAAAGTGTTCATTACAGTAGTTTGATTATAAAAAGGAGTTCATTATACTATCCTACCTACTTTTGAATATGTTGGCATTTTTCACTAATAAAGAGTTAAATAAATGTATATTTAAAATTCCACCCAGAAAGATTCTGATCCAGTAGGTCTGTGGTGAGTTCCAGACATCTGTACATGTATAGGCTTCCAAAGCCATTTAGATTGACACTAACATCTGACTCATCTGAGAATCAGTGATCTAGTCTGCACAACAACTAGGCAAATTCAAGTCCTACCAACTCAGGGCCCTCAAGTCTGAGTAGTCAACGTGAAGCCCTAGGGAATAGAATGCATACCACTCCAGGCCAATCCTTGACATGCTAAATTAAGGTGTTCTGTGGAAAACAGCTGAGACCTGGGTAAATACCCTAGAGATATGAAAGAAACCATGGCAATTTCTGAATCCTGATGCTCCTACCTTTTCTTTCCCAACACGCCAAGCTAGAAGACAACAGTTAAGCCAAGGGCCCCAACCAAGGCCAGCTAAAGGAAGCTTAGAAAAAGTAATTATCCCTTACCAACCAATACCCAACCACTGCTCTGTGGGACTGATCTCAAAGGGCACTTCAGAAAATAAACGGATAGGAATGTCACATAATACACATAGCACATAAGAAGAAGGGGGTGGAGATGGTGCTAGAGATAGTTGTTATAATAGGCCCCAAAAAACAATTCAATATTACTAATTAACTTGACCACTGGGACTCCCTGCCATACCCAGGTATTTAGCCTTTCCCTCCTCCCATCATCCATCAGATAAACTCATTACCTAATAAGAGCTTTTTATAGTGCACATTTTTCTGAAGATTTTACTTATTTATTTTTAGTGAGAGGGAAAGTGAGGGAGAAAGGGAGAGAAAAATCGATGCACAGGAGAGACAGGGATCAGTTGCCCCTCACACACCTCCAACCAGGGACCTGGCCTGCAACCCAGGTATGTGCCCTGACCTGGAATCAAATTGGCAAACTTTCTGTTTGTGGGTCAATGCCCAACCCACTGTGCCACATATCAGGGTTTATGGTGCATACTTAAGGATTTTACAGAATACAGTATCCCAAAGAGGTGCTGAAGTCTATGGAGTCCGAAACATTCATTCGGTAAAATACTATTCCCTATTATTTTTCATAGCCCCATATATATACTATATTATACCTCCACAGCTATGTTATTCATGACTTTGTCATTTGTTCTTATCAACTAAGAAACCAAAGTTTTGAAATTCTACCCTTTTGTGAGCTGGGGTTGCCGATAAAATACCACTCAGAGGAGGGTGAAGACCCATGTTAAAGTTTCCATTAAGCTTCCAATCCACAAGCTTAATAATCTAAGGTACTTCAATTTTGACCTTATTTTCCATTCCTCTAAAAAACTTTAAGATCCATCTGAACTCTATCCCAATTCTTCACATCCTTTTAAAATTACCAAAACAGCAATGTAACCAATATTGACATCCACAAGCATGGGTCTAACACTAACCAAAATAAAATTTCTTTTTTCCTTAGTATACATATTTCAAGTCTTCTGAAAAAAGAGAGAAGAAGCAGAGATAGAAATATTTTACTACCTTACATTCATTAGCCAATATGAAAAGTCTGAATCATTTTCTACCAAATTTATACATTCTGTTTGTAATCAGGTTCTTCTTTCAAATGTGCTATAACATCACAAATAAATTTAATTAAAGACAATAATGCCTTGCATTACCCATAATCAACTTTCTTCTTTTACTTGTTCAATTCTCAATTTTTACATCTTTTTTTACTGATTTGAGAGAGAGAGAGGAAACGAGAGATAGAGAAATATTGACTTGTTATTCAGTTATTTATGCATTCATTGGTTGGATCTTGTATGTGCCCTGACAGAGGATCAAACCCACAACCTTGTCATATCAGGACAATACTCTAAACAACTGAGCTACCCTGCCAGCGCCAATGCTCAATTTTTATTTTTTTTAAATTGTATTTATTTATTTTTAGAGAGAGGGGAAAGGAGAGAGAAACAAAGGGAGAAAAGCTATAATGCAAGAAACATTGATCTGCTGTCTCTGTCCAGACCAGGACAGAACCCACAACCCAGGCATACACCCCAACTGGGATTCAAACCAGTGACCTTTCACCTTGTGGAACACCACCCAAACAACTGAGCCACACCAATCAGGGCCAATTCTGAAGTTTTAAATTTTTCTTTTAGAAAAATTATAGTAGAGCCCTGGCTGGTGTAGATCAGTGGATTGAGCAAGGGCCTGCGAACTGAAAGGTCACTGGTTCAATTCCCAGTCAGGACACATGCCTGAGTTACAGGCCAGGTTCCCAATTGGGGGTCTATGAGAGGCCCCCAATATATCAATAGGTCAATATATCTCTCACACACATCTGTTTCTCTCCCTCTCTTCCCCTCTCTCTAAAAGTAAATAAAAGTTTAAAAAATCTTTTTAAAAATTATGGTAAATTTAGGTTTCCAGTCAGGATGGTGGCATAGGTAAACACATTACTCACATCCTCCCACAACCACATTAAAATTACAAATCAACTACAGAACAACCATCATTAAGAACCACCTGAAATCTAGCAGAATAGAAGACCTACAACTAAGCATAAAATGAAAAAGCCAAATGGAGACTTTTAGGAGAGATGGAGACACAGAATCCATGTGTAGCAAATAAAGATTGGGAGGGATATCTCAGCTTCAGAAGTACCCTCTGAGAAGTGAGAAGTCCCAGCCCCACACCAGGCGCCCCCCAGCCCAGGGTTCCAGTGCCAGAAAGAGAAGACCCCATAACTTCTAGCTGTAAAAACCAGTGAGAATTATGGCTGAGTGAGACAAAAGGCTGCTGGAGTCCCAGGCATTCCTCTTAAAGGCCCCGCAACATAGACTTACTCTGCCTCATCTGCTCTAAGCTCCTGCACTGGAGGCTGCAGCTAAAAAAGCACCAGGGACATTCAGAAAGGAACTGAATTGTCTGGCTTTGAGGCAAGAGTTGCAGAGGCAGCTTTATCCCACACAGACATGCTATCAGAGGCTATTGTTCCTTTTCTGAGCCCTCTCCACACAAGCCAGGAAGTTACATCATATCTGAGTGTCCATCAATCTAGCTAACACCATTAGCCCTGCCCTAATAATTCCCTAAGACCCATGTCCACACAACTTGTCCACTAAGGCTATTTTCAAATCTCTCAAACAAGCAGCATCTGGCCTCCCCATACCCCATACCCCTCGTTAAGTGGTAGTCAGCCTTGGTTCACAGCTTGGCCTCTTCTGGGCACCTCTAGGCCTAGCACAAGGAGCAGCCATATGCAGATCACTTTGTTGTTTATGCCACTGGCCATGGGCACAACACATGTGGTAGCTAACCTTTTTCAGCACCTCCCAGATGCACCAAAGCCAGTGCACCTGGTGAACAGCTTCAGACCATGTCAAAGCATCACCCAACTATCTCCACAAGGAATACACTCAAGAAGCAATGCAGCAGGCACAGGGCCCTGCTGAAGTTAAGTCCTGATCTGTGGGATAGGCCTCTGCACAGCTGATTCTCCACAGTGGTCCCAGCCAATCCTTACAACCAACCAGCCTGGGGGTGAATCCCTCCCACTGAGCAGCAATCAAGTACAAGGGGGTTGGGTGGAGGTATAAGAGGGTATAAGAGGATTAATGGTGATGGAAAGAAATTTGACTTGGGGTGGTGAACACACAATATAATACACAGATGATGTACTATAATATGGTATACCTGAAACCTATAACTTTATTAACCAATGTCACCCCAATAAATTCAATAGAAATGAAAATAAATAAATAAATAAATGGCTCAAGTACAGCAGGAGGATGTACACAGGCCACAAGGCATAGGAGGGGGAAGCGCACTTGGAGTGCTCAGGCTGGGTGACAGGGGAGGCTGTGCCACTGAAACTACAGAACCCTACTACA